AAAACCTAAAAAACCTAAACCTAAAAACCTAACCTAACCTAAAAACCTAAAAAACCTAAACCTAACCTAAACCTAAAAACCTAAACCTAAAAACCTAAAAACCTAAAAAAACCTAAAAAACCTAAAACCTAAAAACCTAAAAACCTAACCTAAAAACCTAAAAACCTAACCTAAAAACCTAAAAAAACCTAAAAAACCTAAAAACCTAAAAACCTAAAAAACCTAACAAAAACCTAAAAAACCTAACCTAAACCTAAAAAACCTAAAACCTAAAACCTAAAACCTAACCTAAAACCTAACCTAAACCTAAACCTAAAACCTAAAAACCTAAAAACCTTAAACAAGAAGGGCCTTATTTGTGTCAAAAGGGATATCGGATCCCCTTTTGCGCAAAGCAAAACTGGCCGAACATCCACGGCTCCGTTTTATGCGACTATCCCAGGAAGCAGCGATGGCAGGCGAGCATGCCATACTGAATTGCCTCAAAATGCCTCTGCAATGCTGTTTGTGCTCTCCACAGCCAGATGCATCAACACCAGAGTGGTCAGACGGCAGAGCAGCCGTCAAGTCTCTCACTGGTCGTTGCACTGAGTGGGCCCTCTCATGCAGGGCAATCAGCTGTGAAGCCACCAGCATCATGCCAGGTCACGGCCAGGTCGTGACGTGCAAGATCGACCACCAGCCGCATGCAAGACGCGTTTCGCCGTGGCGTGAGGCACCTTGGCCGGTCTGGGCGGTGTGAGGCCTCCCCCATGGCAGCCCAGCTGGCACAAGCAGACACAACGTCCAAGACGGCAACACGGTTCACCTGTCTTCAGTCTGTCGAGATGTGGACGCCCGCCAAGCTCGAGATGCCGCCAACCAGGGGCCTGCACCACAAAGGGATGCTGTGCGGCCAGCTTCCCATCCTCAACAAAGCACCAGCGCCACCATGGCACATCCTGACAGTGCACAAACATGACGCATACTTCTCTCTCTACACGAACAGAGAGATTCAGGCAAGCGTCTTTCTATTGCAGGCCACAAGGTGGCCGGGGTCGTGGCAAGATTGCAGTTGTGGTGGTATGCAGGTGCACTGCAACTGGCATCGCGCCTGCATTTTGTCGCTCAAGGATTGCATGGCCACCCGCTCCGTGACAAGCAGCAGCCGGACGCGCTGCGAGGTGCTGAGCAGCGGTGGGGGGACGTGTTTGTTGGCGGGGTTGTCCTGGCACCTCTTTTTGCAAGCGATCAGTGGAGACGTCCCAGCACGTTCTCAAATCGGTTACGAAGGCGCCGAGCGAGCCAGGTGCGGTCGAGAGACGCCGGCTGCGTCTTGCGTCTTGTGTGTGCTCGGCTCGCGCTGGATGATCGATGGTGCGTCGTGGATTGCCGCTGTGCGGGTCAACCTGCTCACGCTTGCACCGCGCTTGCGCTCCTCCGCTGGCTTCCACTCATTTGGACGCGCCCTCTCGGGCGGGTCCAATCACGCGCGCACACGTCGATCCTGACGACGACCTTCCCGCGCGCTCGCTCGCTTGCTCGTCTGCCGTGGTCTCGACCGACCGCCAGCCTGTGTCATGGCGCTGCTCCATTGCCTGTGCGCACGCTGCACGCCGACAAGCTCCACACCAACGCCCTCCAGCTGCAGCACGCTCAATACCACCCGACCAAATGCATAGGAGTCGTTGGTCCGGCAACGCTGAGCGCTCCTCGACGATGTCGTCCCTCGACCATGGTTTACACGCATACGCGGCTCTGACTGGTTGGAGGCGCCGGGTCGCTCACACTCACGTCCCACACATTCCCGTCGCCTTTCCTTGCTCAGCACTCGCCGATACCATCGCCATGATTCCACACGGCGTGATGGCGACAGTGGCCGGACCCAACGACAGTTGGATCAGTGTCAAGCACCAGCGCCCATGCACTGCGTTTGGTCTTCACGCCGACGCCCTCGATCCCGAGACCCCGACCCCAGGAGGACACGCTCTCACGGCGCGCAGCCCGAGATCCCGCGCCTGCCGTCGTTCTGTGCTCGGCATGCACCGAGCTGGGCTGTCCTGGGTTGCCGAGCCGGCCGTGTCATGCCAACTGACCCCGACTAGTACACACGTTGCTGCGCCGTGCTGCGTACGGCCGTACGACTGCATTTCGCACCCGCAATATCGGCGGCGTCGCCCGTGCTCTGCGGCCACACGCCGTCGTCGTCTCTGCTCGTACCGATACCCGAGCTGGAGACGGCGCTGCTCGCGCTCAGCACCACCGCGCCCTCACACGCGTGCACGTGGGCGGTGCATTGTCTGCACGACGACAACGGCAACGAAGAGGCCGACGCTGACGGTCATCTGCTCGTCGCTGTGCCGCCTTTGACCACCCCACGCACGCGACGCCATATGATGGCCACGATGTCGTCGAAGTCGCAGCTGCCGCGCTGCGTTTGACCCAAGTCTGTCGTCGTGGCCACTCTCCGCTCGCACTTCCGCACCGTGCCAGACACCCGGATTACGAACCGCCACGAGGCGCAACTCGTTGCCGCGCGACGTGCTGGAAACGGATGTGCCGTCGCGCATCGCGTGCGCAACTTTATGCGCCGGCCGATTCGATTGCAGGCCCTGCGCTCACCACCCAAAACTGCTCCCCGCGTTCTCGTGTCATGGCCGGCCAGCTGGTAATAGTACAAAGCAGCGGTACGGAGCCTCAACGGGCTCGCTCGTGTTAGTCTGGTCTTCACTGGTGTTGGTGATCAAGACGTGATCACCAGCTGGCTCAGTGATGGCGCTGAGCTGGGCCGTACCATGGACGATGCCGTGCCTGCAATACGCATCGAGCTAGTCATCTGCCTCTGCGTCGCCCTCCCCACCCTCTTGACCCGAGTAGAGCGTGCTGTTTGGTTGCGAACGAAGTCGTTTCGGTCTGATCGGTTTGGCGATGCATTTTTGCGCGAACGCGACTGCCGCAGCTTCCAGATGTCACTGGGGAAGCGTTTGGTGAGAAATGACATTGCACTGTCGTTGCATTCAGAGTCTGATCGTCAGGAACCCGGTCGACCTCAGGCCGGCCTGGGCCGACCTCGCTGGCGTGCCGACGAACTATCACTTGGCACATTCGCTGTCATCCAGATTCGAGACGATAGACTTGCTGCAATTTACCATGTCCAACCAGTCCAGAAAATCGACAGCAACGGCGGCCACCGGCCACGACATCCTCAAGGTCAAGGCGGTAGCACCAGCACGGCCCCAACCGGCCGCGGCCGTGGCGCCAAGCAGCACCGCGACGGCCACCTCGGCCACTTCGACAACGGCCCCCACGATGGCCAGCAGTAGCACGAAACTTGCCTCGCTGCCGGGCCAGTCGCAAGAGGTCGCAACGGCGCTCATTTCGGCCCTCGAGGCGCGCGGCTTCGACCTCTGCACCGTCTTCCCGGTCGAACGGTCCGTGCCGCTCACCAATCTCGCGCATCGCCACACCGCCACAACAGATGGGTGGAGAGAACCCGATATTGACGGAGCGCCAACATATAGTTACAATGCGACTCTGCCCGACCACAAGCACATGCACCTGCCCGCCTTGCAACCCGCACCAGCCACGACGCTCGCCGTCCTGGTCGCGTACTCGCGCGGCCAGTGGACGCGATTTCTCGCCGACTTGCGCGCCAACCCGGCACACGCACGACTCACGGACCCATGGGACGCGTTTCTCACGCGCGAAATTTCAGCGGCCCTGAACGCGACCAAGCTCCCGGTCGCGCACGACGTGCGGTACTCGTGGGATTTGGCACCGGGACGGATGGTCGCGATGCAGCGCGCGGCCGAGGCGAGTGGGCTTGCCGCATGGGATGCCGGGTGCTGCTTGAACGTGCACGAGACGTTTGGTCCGTGGCTCGCGTTTGCTGCTGTGGGTACGTTCTTGTCGTGTCCTCTCGTCCGCCCGTCATGAGACATGCATACACATGGTTTCTGACCTGTTCGGTATCGCCCGCATGCTAGTCGTCTTGAACCTCCCCGGTCCGGCTGTCAACGCGATCCAGCCCGCACGCAACCCTATCCCGGCGTCGCTGCAGGCGCATCTCACGACCACCATGGAAATGCTCAAGAACCAGGCGCCATTGTCGTGCCACGTCGTGACGGGCAAGCCTGGTGTCTGCCATGGCGACGGCACGCCCGACCCGGATCAGACCTGGCGTGGGTGGGTGTACCTGCGTGACCTGGCCGCGTCGTGGTTGCCGTGCGAGGCCCTGGAGCGTGCGCGGTACACGCCCGACCAGATTGCGTACCACTACTCCAAGGACACGACGGTGCTCAAGCGCACGCTCGAGGGCACGTTTGTGGACCGCGCGCTCGAGCAGGCGCCGGAACCGTGGGTGGAGAAGTAACGGATGGATGGAGTGGGTGCGGTGGAGAGTAGGTATTCGCGGAGGATATTATTTTTGGGACATAGATTAGTATTAGTTGTTAGTTTAACTGTCATGCAGCCCGATCTCAAGCACATTCTGTGAGCTCTGGCTTGCAAGAGTCCTGGTGCGGTTAAGTAGAGCAAAAGAGCGCTTCATCCAAAACGTCAAGACGCTAAACGTAGTCACTATGGAGTATGCGAATGTACCGCTTGATACCGCAGCCGTGGATTGAACACGGGACCGACGCCTTACAAGGGCGTCGCTCTGCCACTGAGCTACAACGGCGATATTCATGAATTTGAAGTTTGCCTCTTCATCTATGGGCGGACGGCCCAGCCGCGTGGTCAGGCTGGTCATGGAGAACGTGTCCACGCGCCATCGTGCAAAATGGCTGCCTTGCGCGAGCGAGTTCCGGGTTCCCAGGGTAGACAAGCAGCAGCGAAGCAACACCAGTTCGAGATCAAAATGGGGGAACCAGACGATTCAACTTCGAACCGACACCCAAGTCCTCATCACCACCATGCCGTCATGCTCCGCGTCGACGCGCGCCTGCGACTCCACTGGGCCCACCGCGTCCAGCATTCGCGCCTGGCCCGGCCCGTGCTGGCGCGCCCTTGGCTAACCCACCAACCGCCGCATTGGTCCTGGCCGATGCTGCCGTGGCCGTCGACGTGGTGGAGTAGGTACTCATGCGCGTCGTCGACCGCGACGAGGATGCTTGGGTAGCTATAATGACGCGATCCACCGATCAGCCACGGTTTATGCAGTTACGACGTATCGGTGGTAAACGAGAACGTACTCGGCGTTGCGGTCATGAGCGACCGTTCCAGATCGAGCATGTTGAACTCGCCCGACTGGGGCAGCACCGTGGGCCGTGGACTGTCGCGTTGGACGACGGACCGCTTGGCATGCAGCTGCGGCAATTCGGCGCGCGGTGGGGTCGGCGGGTCGCCGACGAGCACGCCGGCAATTTTTTCGACCATATGGAGCATTCCTGGGTGAGGGGTCGGAGGGTCGTGATGAGTTGACATGTGGCGATGGTGAGCACGCGCGCCGCATCGAGGAGAACAGCGCACCTCCCGTCAAAATGAAGACGTTTTCGAACCCACGTTCACAAAGGATCTGAGCGGCCGGCGCAGCGATGCTATCGGATGAGTTGGGTGAGACGTGACGCACAGAAGAGGGGGAGCAGGCATGAGAACGCCTGCAAATGAATGTACCTTTCGTCGGTGTCGTACAAGATAATGATCTTGCTCTCCTTGTTGCGGTACATGACGAGATCCTTGGAGATTTGGTCGCGGCGAATGAACACGTGCGGGTACGAGAGAGCTGGTTAAGATCAACGGGCAAGAACGCACTGCTGGTCAGTTTGCGCTCGAGGCGCGAACCGGGCTGCGCAGCAACGTTAACGAGATCAAGTACCTCCAATGACATGGCACGTCCTCCACTCGGCAAAGTCGCGCACGTCGAGCAGCAAGTACGGCAAGTCCCAGTTGTACCCCGTGTCAGCGGCGCCATTAAACTTGAACCCGTGGATCGGCGGCGTGCCCGGGCCGTGATGGTGCATCTTGGCGCGGTCCGAGTCCGGGTCGGCCATCAAGTGCATGACCGAGTCGTGCAGACGGTCCGAGCACAGCGGCGGGCGTGGTGCCGGCGGTGCCGCTGGTGCCGGCATCATGCGACGGCCCGAGGGTGGTGCATTAGAGCTGCGTGACCGTTCGGAATAGTCGCCGAGGAAGAAGCTACCCGAGGGCTTGGGCGCCGCGGCGGCAGCGGGTGGTGGAGCGGGCGAGCTGGCGCGTGTTGTGTCGCGCGTCGCAACAGGCGTTTGCACGCGCGAGGTGATATTGGCTTCCATGGCGAGCAGGTCAATGTCGAGCTGCGTCTCGTAGATGAGGCGACCGAGCGTCTACATCGATGAGCGGAATGGGAGCGAGTCGGTTGACCAAGCTGCACGAGACTGTCGCGACGGAAGTGACTGTGGACGCATACCACCGGCTTAAGCCGGCCAAACATTTCATTTTCGAGGTACTTGTGCTCTATCCAGTGAACAAAGGCTTGATGAGCGCACGGACAAGTAACCAAGGCCGTGGTGGTCGGGGCGGGGGCGCACCGTGCGACTTGAGCGCTTGCTTGCGGAGAAAGTTGGCCTCGCTGGCGCCCGAGTCGATGGTGGGCCTGTGGGGGTCGAGGGTCAGGGCCAGATCCGGCCGAGAGCGCGGGAAATGGAACAGGTCAAGCTGGTATCGCTTCGTACCGGACGTCCGAGTACTTTTTGGCCTTGGGAATGGGCTTGCCAAGAAACTGGCAGCACGACGAGCATCCACGGGTTGGTCAGCGTTCACCGCGGCGTGAGCAACGTGGGCGCGCGTCTGCACAGGGCCGCAGGAGGGCGCTGCGGGCAGCAATCAGCATACGGAGCGGTCGGCTAGCGCGTCCTTTTTGCTCATCTTGGCGGCAGAGCAGTGCGGGCGCGGCGGGCGTGTGGTGAGCGGGGAGTCGCTGCTGCAGCGAGATGGCGACGGACGACGACGACGGCGACGACGAGAACGGCGAGAACGGCGATCCGCCCACGGGAGCAGAGGGATATCTGGCGCGCGGTACATCGCGGTCACGCGCAGCGCTACCGCACGCACCCGCTTCTTGCCAGGGGCCGGCCATGTCCGCCGACGAGCGCTCCACAGCGCACTCGCCCACGAAACAGCACCGACCACCATGCCCGCCTAACTTGCTGCATTCGATCGGCACTCGACCATCTTCATGTCGCCCCGCCCGCCAGCGCACCAGCACCATGCCGCCACCAACCACCACCACCGATCCGCCCGCCACGGCCAAGCGCCGCCGAACCGGTGTGTGGGTGTGGCCCCTTTGCATTGCTCGAGTGAGCCCTCATTCGCTCCATGACCGCGAGTCCTGACCGTGCCTGCTTTTCCTGCCGCCAATTTCCAGCGGGCCGCGTCGTCCAGTCACGGTACATGGCCGCGGCCAGCTCGGCCGCCGCTAAACCTGGCCCACCACCAGCGACGACGAGTGCAAGTACAAGCGCAAGTGCAAGTGGTGCGCCCCCACCTCCACCTCCACCACGCAGCGCAACGCCGGCCCCACCGAGGAAAGCGATTCCGGCACCAGCACCTGCTCCGCCGCACACCGCTCCACCCGTCCCGACCGACCCGACGTCGACCACGGCACCGGCCACGTCAGCACGCAATGGCCACGGCTCCGGCCCGACGGCACCATCTGCGCCGCCACTGCCACGACCGGTCCCTACCTCTCCTGCGGCCAAGCGCTCCGTCACCGACGACGGCGCCGATCCGCCCGGTGCCAAGCGCCGCCGCACACTCGGGCCCGACGCCGCAGCAGCTGCAGCAGCCGAGCTCGAACGGCTCGCGGGCCGGCCTGCCCTGGACCGCCGCAAGACCCTCGATAAGCGTGCCGCCGCGAATGCCGCCGCCAACGCGACCCTGCAGGCGGCCGTACGAAGGCGCACAGTCGGGAGGAAGACGAGCACGAGAGCGGATGCTGGTGGGGACACCAACAAAGCGGGCGCGAGGAGAAAGACTGCAACCACAACGGCGACGGCGTCAAATGGAGCGCCGTTGGACGCTGCGGCTGCGGCACCGAAACCGGGCGACTTGCCGCCGATCCCACAAGCCGCGGCGACCGCGGGATCGTCTTCCAGCAGTGCATTGCATTCGTCTACGGCACCGGCACCAGCACCGGCCGCTCCAGCGGCCGAGCCGACCGTCGCGAAACGTCCTGCTCAGTCGTCTTCATCCAGCGCAGCAGCAGCTGCTGCACCACCGCCGGTCGCGGCACCATGGGCCAAGATCGTTCCAGCACGATCAGCAGCCAGCTCGCGCGCTCCTCCTGCCAAAAGCAACCCACCACCACCTCGACCTGCATCACGGGTCACGAACCGCCCGACATCTCGCCGCACCACGACTGCTCGCGTCCAGCCTGCACCCGCAGCGTCCCCGTCCGACGCATCCAGCAGCCGACCCGCGACACCCGCCGCACCCTCGGAATCGGCACCAGCAGCTCCCCCGCCGCCCCCTCCCGCCGCCATACCAGACGCGGTTGTTTCCTCGACCCACCCGCCGTTGATCCCACCCGCATCTGACGCCGACGCACAGCTTGACGTTTCCCTCGCAACGGGCCTCTCTCCACTGCACCTGCACGTGCGTCTCGTGCAATGGACCGCGCTCCTCGCCGACACGCGCGCACAGCACGCGGCCGAAACGGCGCGCGCCGAGGCACAGCTCGCAAGTGTCGCTCGCCTCGTGGCCGCCAAGCGCAAGCAGTTGGCCGACGTGCAGCGGCAGGCCGAATGGGACCGGATCGCGGCGGTCCTCCCGCAATTACGTGCGGAGATGGAGAGGTTGCGCCCGATTGTCGAGGCCATCGAGGGCGGAGCGTTTCGGCACGCGCACGTGCAGGTGGTCGGGGCTGTGCGCCGTGCCGTGGATGTGTTGGCGGTGCACCGATCAACAGTGTCGCAGTTTGGTAAGGATGGGTCGGTGTGGCTTGTGTAGGTCGAGACGATCAAGCTCACGACGTGTGTTTCTTGACGTAGATTCGATGATCGCATCACTCGATAGTTGTCTCGCGAGCTTGCACACGGTGTTAGACCAGGTCGACACGGACGAGGTATGGATGTGCCAATTCGAATCTGTCGCCGCATTCGGCTCACCCCCATCTTACCACGCCTCGTAGACGGAAACACTGGCCGGCCAGGCCCGCCAGCTCCGCGAGCACGTTGCGCGCGTGCGCAACCTGAAGGCCGATGTGGCCCGGCTCGACGCCCAACGGCGTGTCGTGCAACAGCGCGTCACCAGTAAGGCACCGCCGGCCGCGCCGCACGCACGGTGGATGGATCCGGTGCTCAGCACGCTCTGAATACATATGTGAACAACGGGCCAGGCATCTCGGTTTTGGAGATTGCATAAGAGCCAAATTTTTGCACATATTGAACGCGGTGGTCACACCCGATGTATTGTGATGTGTGCTCAGCTCCGACGCCGGCTCCGCTCGCGATCGTGGTCGTCGTCGCGGTGCCGGCGTGACGGCCGCTCGCGATTGTCCTCGTCGTCGTCACGACTGCGGCGGGACGGGCGATCCCGACCCTGGTCCCGATCACGGTCACGGTTTCGGCCGTGTGTGCGAGACCTCTCCTCATTTGGACGGCTCACGTCAAGGTCATCGCGCGACGAGCGATACGACGTGCGGTCGCAATCAGTCGGACGCGCGTTGGGCGATCGGAACCGCGAGCGATGACGCGAAGGGCC